AACTGAGCCACCCGAGCACCCCATGAATTAATGTATTTTTTATTGGTTAAAATGGTCAATTTTACCTTTAACTTTTTCAAAGGATAAACCAAAGGAGCACCTGGGTGGCTCAGTTGAGCGTCCGACTTCAGCTCAGGTCATGATCTCCCTGTCCGTGAATTCGAGCCCTGTGTCAGGATCTGGGCTGACATCTCAGAGCCTGGAGCCCACTTCGGACTCTGTCTCCCTTTCTTTCTGCCCCTCCCCTACTTGCTCTCTGTCTCTCTCTCAAAAATAAGTAAATGTTAAACACATTTTTTAATAAAATCAATAAAAAATTAAAGGTAAGCCAAAGCTACTTAACAGCTACCTCATTAGAGGAACATGAATTCCCTAGTTCACTTAATCCCGACCTGATCATTACTATTTAAAATGTTCATTTAGCCCTTATAGGCATTTAAATTTACAATGCTCACCCTAGATAAGCTTACTTTATGAATTAAGGAATTGAGACAATAATTTTAAGACAAGGTTGGTAGGAATGATAATAACAATAGCAACTAATACTTGAACCAACTATTGTTCAAGCAAAAATACATTATCTTATTTAATCCACACAACCATATATAGTAATATGCTATTACTATTCCCAGTTTACAGATGAGGAACTTGCCCAAAGTCATCCTCCAATGCATGGTAGAGCCAAAATTCAAAACCAAACTCCAGTACACATTGTTAACCCCTACAATATGATTCCTTTCGAGTAGCATCCTCTCCTCTGTGACTAACTGGATTCCCTGGAACAACTAATCAAGGCTAAATTATAGATCTTACTCTTTCTCTGAATGAATGACTAAGAAGCAAACCAAAGTCCACCTAAACATGCCATCCAGATGGCATTTGGATATTTTCCATATCTTAAAAGAAAAATGTCTCTGTCACTGACAGAAAAAACGTCAGATCCAATAAAATATACATTTTCGCAGAAAGCAAGTATGTTATCAAACATTTCTGGAGTGTGGCAAGCTCAAATATGCATATGAATTCTTAGATTAAAACCATGAAGGATGATACAGTATAAAACTTCCTGGGACAGAAGGGAAAATTAGGGTAAGCAGTTTCCAGATGTGAAAAAATACTCGAACTTTCTTGAGGGCAGGGACTGCTTTTTTTTTCAGCATGAGTCTCTACAATACACAGCACAGAGCAGCACTTAGCACATATTCAATTATATTAAAGGAAGCAAAAGGCTAAAGTTAGTACTTTAAACTGCAATGCAGTGTGATCTTCATTATAGTATTTATCACCTTGCTTTTTATAATAATTACTGGTAAGGAGCACCTGGGTGGCTCAGTCTGTTAAGTGTCTGACTTCGGCTCAGGTCATGATCTCACAATCCTGGGATCCACGTCAGGCTCAGTGCTGGGCTGGGTGTAGAGTCGGCTTGAGATTCTCTCTCTCTCTCTCCCTTTCTCTCCGCCCCTCCCCTCCATAAATAAATAAACATTAAAAAAAAAAAAAAACTGGGTGAGGCCCCTGGGTGGCTCAGTCTGTTAAGCTTCAGGTCACGATCCTTCAGGTCAGAATCTCGTGGTAGATGGGTCCCTGCTGACAACCCAGAGCCAGGAGCCTGCTTTGGATTCTGTGTCTCCCTCTCTCTCTGCCCCTCCCCACCATTTGCTTCTCTCTTTTCTCCTCAAAAAGAAATAAACGTTAAAAAATAAAAAGAATAGGGGGACCTGGGTGGCTCAGTCGGCTAAGCGTCTGACTTCGGCTCAGGTCATGATCTCACGGTTTGTGGGTTTGAGTGCCATGCTGGGCTCTGCGCTGACAGCTCAGAGCCTGGAGTCTGCTTTGGATTCTGTGTCTCCCTCTCTCTCTGCTCCTCCCCAAATTGTGCTAAGATAAAATAAAAATTTAAAAATTTTTCAATAAAAATAAAAAATTTTTAAAGAAGACTTCCATTTCTTTAAAAAAAAGAAAAAAAGATATTTCTAAGGCCTATCTTATATTGTGATATCAAGAAAGCCCTAAAAAATTAGTGAGTCAGCCCATGAAACACAAAATATAATCAAAGAGTGAGCTAGAAGAAAACTGAGAGATCATCATGTTCGATACCTTTAATAGACAAGTGAGGTAGTGGAGGCCCAGGGATTTAAGTGAATTGCCCAAGACTACAGAACTAAGTAACAAGTAATACCAAGGATAGAACCCAGGTCTCCTGAATGTTACCCTAGTTTTCTTTCCACAAAGAACTATTCTGTGAGCTCAGGATGCAGTGGATACTTTTGGAAATATTTTAAAGATACTTGGTATGGAGAATGATCTTTCCCAACACATAACTTTTTGTGAGGTATTACATCACCATTAAAGAAATGAAAGCTGCCTTGTTCCTTTGCTGCAGATAACACCATCTCCTCCCCCCCCCTTTTTTTTTTGCTCTATGTATTTTTCATTTTCATGTATTTCCTTTCATTATTTTTGAGAATTCTTACCATGTCTTGTTTATCTACTTTCCCTCTTAGCCACTTCCTTTCCTACTATCTTTCACAAAGCTCCCCCATCTCCTTCCTTTCTCTCCATAATTATAAAAAAGAACAGAGTAAGCACACATTTTTTAATAGCAATGGCCATGGACACCATAACAAGCAAATCATAGTCTTGGTCTCTAAGCATTTACAGGACAATCAACAAAAATATAAATTAACACAAAGGGTCACACAGAGGTATGAATAAACACTGATGTTTATGGTGAAGAAAGGAATCTAAGTACGGATAGGACATTTATATGAAGAGAAGTGGTAATGATAACAAAGAGCCGCAAGGTTAGAGTGAGGCAAGTGAAAGGGACAACTCTTTGTCCTATTCAGCTTTCTCACCTACCAATTCATTAGTTCTACTTCATTCACTCCTTATTCTCTTCCTGTTTGACTGTTATCAATGCTCTATTTTTCTTTCTTATCCAGTAGTCTTCCTTTTCTCTCTCCTGATCCTTTAAAGTGAATTTGTCCTGTTCTCATGTTTTCCTTCTCAGTATTACTGCCAATTACTGTCCTTGTAGACTCAGGTAATGTCTTAAAGTTGTAAATTCATTTTTTTCTATTTTCAATACATCTATTTTCAATTTTTTCAATTTTCAATACATCTATTTTACAGATATATAAACTGAGTCCAGGCAAGATTAAATAACTTGTCAAAAGTCAGTTTGTCAGTGGCAGAATCAAATCAGAACCCCAGACCTTTTCTTTCCAAGTCCTCTAATCTTTTTCCGCTTCATCATGTTGCCTTCTTTTTACTTACACTTTTTAACTGTACACCTGCACATATCTGGACAAGAATATGCAGAATAAATGTTTATAAAACAGCGCTAAGTGGGAAAAGTATATGTTCAAGAAAACTAGAGAAACAGAGAAGTCAAGGACGCTTGGTTTGGCTCATTTGGTTAAATGTCCAGCTCTTGATTTCTGCTCAGGTCATAATCTGACATCATGGTCATGAGATCAAGCCCCACAGTACACTCAGTGCAGAGCTTGGAGCAGGCCTGGGATTCTCTCTCTCCCTCTCTCTCTACCCTTCCCCCGCAAATTCATTCTCTCTCTCTCAAATAAATAAACTTAAAAAAGAAAAAAAAAGTCAGAGCACCTAAAGTAAGGGCAAACTGTGGCTCACAGGCTAATGCTTATAGAGGAGACTCAGTTTCAGATCCAAGTGGAAACTGCCTATTTCTTCAACATCCTCTTTCTCCTACCTCCCTCCCCACAGCAGTTATATGACCAGAGCTTACCCTCTGCACCATTCCTGCCCCCCAATCTCTTTCACAGGCCTGCCACCATACCTGAAGTTCTCACAGCTGGAGTCACTTCTTTGGGTTAAGGCGTTGTCTCCAGAAGGCCACTGTTAAATGCATGTTACCTGAGAGGGGAAGGAGGGTCCATTAACACGTTATTCCTATGGTTAAACATATCAGATTAGCAATGACCTTGGGAACCTGACAACACAATGTCTTTTTAAGTTTCATGGAAAAGGGGTACCTGGCTGGCTCATTTGGTAGAGCATGTGACTCTTAATCTTGGGGTCATGAGTTCATGCCCTATGTTGGGCACAGAGATTACTTGAAAAAAATAATAAAAGTTTCATGGGATAGATCATTGGGGGAGGGGGGATAGATAGTTTTTGACAGGGCAGGCAGGATAAAGTGAGTCAAGGGGAAAAGGACCCAAACATAGTATGGGGATGAAGTCCACCTGGCTATGATGTCTACATGACAAAATGAGGATGACAATATAAGCATATACTCTAACTATTGGGGTCACTGTAAGGATGATCCCTGCAACTTGGGAGGCTCCTAGGGATAGGAAAAGAAAAAGCACTTCAAGGATCAGAGTATAGTCAGTTCTGAATGCAAAAGAGCTGAAGTGGCAGCACTTTTCCAAATACAGAGCACTGCTAAACAGAAGGAAGAACAGCTCCTAGTTAATGACTACTAGTTGTGAGGCTAGTTTCCAACCCAGTATTTTTAGCTGAGGGCCGATCTACTAACCAGATAATGCTGTAATTCAATTCTGCAAACCCCCCACCTGCTAATTTATATTGACTCAAAACTAGCTTCATGTACAGCTACAAAAACCAACATGCCTTTACTAAGCGCTTATTATGAGCCTAGAATTTGGCGAAATGCTGTAAGTATGAAAGAAAGAAAGAAAGAAAGAAAGAAAGAAAGAAAGAAAGAAAGAAAGAAAGAAAGAAAGAAAGAAAAACGAAAGTCAGTCATATACTTTTGCCTTAACTCACATAAAGGAAACCAATCCCCAAACCTAAAACTGAGAGAATGGTGAGAAACAAGGAAGTGAAAAAAAAAACCAGAAAACAAAAAAACCACAAACAGGTGACTACTTCCTATCAGTACTAACAACAAATGTCTTAAGTCAGAATAAATACAACAAAATTTACTTCTAGGCCAAAGTTCCTTGTCAAACTCTTACCTAAACAGTCAAGAGGCACAGGCTAGAAATACCCTTTTTCTTTTGGTCTGATACCAAAAGCTCTTTAGCAGCACACATTCATCTTGATAACACTGGAGAATAACAAAGTAAGAGTTACAAAACTCAGTTCCACTTCTACCTCTAACTCTTAACTACTTTTAGGTAAATTATTTAACCTGTTTTGGATTTTTTTTTTTAACAGAAAACTAATAGGTTGAACTAGTCTAAGGATGGCATATACCTGGCACATACATCTCCCACTAGATAACTGTGTCCACAGGAAGCATCACTAATCAATCATAACTCACTTTCCCAGAGAATACATATGACCCAAATCCTTCTCAATACCATGCTTCTGGCAGCTATTTCAAAGTTTGGTTGGTCCATAAACCAAAATATATTTGCCACCATGGACTAAATAGTCCCTGCAATCTCTTCCAACTCTAAAATTCTTATACCAAGTTTCTGAGTGTGAGAGAAAAACACTTCAAACAATCTTAGATCAATAGTGTTGATAGTCATAAATTTCAGTCTAATCTCCAAGCTCCCCTCCAAACTGCACCCAATCTGGTTCTAACTTTTCAAAAGTGCAAATGAACAATACATTCTCATACCATTAATATATATAACTTGGCAATGTTATTCAGATTTGCTAATGGGTTCTTTATACAGAACAAGAGTCTTTTACCCAGTCTGGCCCTAAAAATTCCTCATCCAAAAATATGGCAACAATAATGCATTAGTAAATAACTAAATCCAATCCCTTGATCATCCCCACAGCCTCCCTCCAAAATCAAGCCTTTTCACCTCTCAGCTAGACTTCTGCAATAGCCCTTTTCCATCCTTTTACTCTCATTACCAGAGCAATCTTTCTACAACACACGTACTGAGATCACTTTCCCGTTTAAAATCTGAATCCACTGCTAACATAAAATTCGAGTTATTTAGCGTCATGCTTAGAACTTTTCATATGGTTACCTCCTTTTACCTTTCTGACCTCCTGTCCCACAATGCTCTCTTTCCCCATCCCACTCCCTGAACCCTTTTTCTCCTACAATCTTCTGCATTTACACACAGCATTGTGTTTCCACTGTCCTATCCGTCCTTTTCCCCACCCTTATCACACTCCTATTCATCATCTAAGACCCAATAGGACCAGGAGCAGTTCCCGTGACCTCCTGTGACCTCCTCGGCCAACCCCAGACAGAACTGGTCACCTCCTCTTCGGTCTCAAAGCTTTTTGAGAATTTCTTGGTAGGTCCACAGTACCGTTTGCCTCAGTGGTTCCCAAGATCAATGGAATTTCCTGAGGCATGTTTTAAAAAAAAAAAAAATTCTTCAGGGCCAAAGCAGACCTACTAAATCAATCTCAGGAAAGGAGATCCTGGAATTTCTATTCTAATGGGCAAATTTGGGAACTACTGGTTTGTCTCTTCCAATAGATGAAAAGAATTTTTTAAAAAGAATTTAGAAATGATTCCCTCTAGAATACTGTGAAAAAGTATTTTGCGCTTGTTTTTTATTTCATATCCTTTCTGACTTGATTCACATACTGAACATGAAGGAATTATTTTTGGACTCACACCCAAAAAACTTACATTCTCTGTTTAAAAAAAGCAGTTGAGGGGCGCCTGGGTGGCACAGTCGGTTAAGCGTCCGACTTCAGCCAGGTCACGATCTCGCGGTCCGTGAGTTCGAGCCCCGTGTCGGGCTCTGGGCTGATGGCTCAGAGCCTGGAGCCTGTTTCCGATTCTGTGTCTCCCTCTCTCTCTGCCCCTCCCCCGTTCATGCTCTGTCTCTCTCTGTCCCAAAAATAAATAAACGTTGAAAAAAAAATTAAAAAAAAAAAAAAAGCAGTTGAATTTCCACCTTCATTTCTAATCTTAAGAATGAAGTAACTGTACCTCGAGTACATCTATGAATACACAGTGCAGGCTCTCAGCAATCTGCCACGAGAACTTTATTTCAACTGAGAAATCCTTAGCCGATTTTGAAGGTAGAAATACACTGCCTTTACACTTGCTTAAAATCGAATTATATTAGTAATAGATGTGGGAGACCCTAACTAAGTGCAATGATAAGTGGCTGGCACCAGTGCCTCATGAACTTTCAAAGAAAAAAAATCCCACTCTTCTTCCTCAACACTCACTCCCAAAAAGGTATACTGAAGCTGTAGAACCATGGCAGAAAACGTAACAAGATTAAGATACGCATACAACCAACAAACTAGTTGAGTTGTTACTGGGACGTGAATTTCGGGTGGTTTGCACGTTCACCTTGTTACACCTCTTTAGGCCCAAAGTCTACCTTCAGCGCACAAACCCTGTGTTTCTCTTTAAGTCGTGGCCCTGGACTGCGTCTGAAAACTTGAGTTCCCCGCTTAGTTCCCCCTAAGTCACGTCCTCCTCACGTTTCGACCTTTAGAATACGTTCACAGCTACTTTTTTCTTTTCTCTGCTAAAGAAAAGGACACTCAAGGGGGAGGGCACTGACAGCTCCCACGTCTGCAAAACTCGACGCCGGGAGGTGCCGGACGGGGCAGCGGGCGCCGAAAAGGGCGCCCGGGCCGGGACCACTACGATGGGGGACAATGGAGGGAGGAGGGGAGTGGAAGAAAGAGGAGGCAGCCGCTATGCTGGGCCCGCCTCGCGACTAGGGGCTCCAAAAGGTCTCGGTAAGGCCAGCCGAGCGTCAGGTGGGCCCGGCCGCCGCCCCTCACAGGGCCACGTCGGCCTGGGCGGCCACTGCGGCCGGGCCCGAGAGTAGGCCGGGCCGCGGGAGAGTGGCCCCCGGCGGGACTGAGGGGCGCCGGGCCGGACCCTGCTGGCGCCCGCCACTGCCCAGCCCTCTCACGACTTGACGCCAGCAAGGCGAGGGGCTCCCCCACGCCGCCGGCCAGACAGTGGCTCCTCCGCGCCTCCGGCCAACCCATCCCTCGGCCACTAGCCCGAGCTCCCCGCGCCCCCCACGGGCACCGGCTCCGTGAGAGCAGTGGTGGCTCTAAGGACCCCACCCGCGCGCCCGCACTCCTTCACCCCTGGTTCTCCTCGGACACTCTCATGCGGGCTACCCCCTCTACCCAGAACTGCCCCCAGTCCGCCCGCGGGTGTTTACCGGGACTCGGGGCGGCGACGACTCCTCAGTCCCTCGACTAAGATGGCAGCCGGTCCCGAGCCCCGACCACAGCGACTAGAGCGAGTTGGCGGCCAACGCGCAGGCGCTCCGGCTCGGCAGGGATGTGGACCACAGGCCCCAGAAGGCCTTGCGCACCGGCCAGAAGGGTTGGCAGGAGCTGCGGAGTGCAGCTACATCGGAGTTTGCTCGCCTTTAGATGGGAGGGACTCTGGGATTGCTCCCAACCGCTCTAGGCGTTTTTTTGGTTTTTTTTTGTTTTGTTTTGTTTTGTTTTTTTTAAAGCACCCTCCTTCCCCCAATCGCTAAAGATTGTAGCTGTGATTTCCAAACGCCAGTGTATATCAGAATCACCTGAAGTGCTTGTTGAAACTTTGGGGTCCCACCCCCAAAGTTTCTCTTTCAGCAGATCTGGGATGGGATCTAATTACTTGCATTTCTAACTCTGGTGTGCTACTGGTGGGGAATCACACTTTGAAAAACACTGCATTATAGTTTAGTTCTTAAGAAAGTACACTGGGGAGTTACATTGATTGAGTTTAAATCCTCCTTTTAACAGGGTGAGCTTAAGGATGATGAAAACATGTTACGGGTAAGTGATGCCAACGTGGCAGGTGTTCTAAGAGCTGACCAATAAGCATCTTTAAACCTTCTAACAAATCTTTGAAGAAAGTACATTATTCTCACTTTACAGATGCATAAACCAAGTCACAAGATGGGTACCAACCCAGGCAGTCTAGCTTCAGAGTCCATCCGCTTAACTTCTTCATGAGTTTGTGAGAATTAAAAGGCTGTGCAAGTAGATTCAGAGACCCAGCTAAGTGCTTAGTAATTAGTGACCTTCGCTATTATTGTTTAGCCTATTTCCTTCTAATGAAGATATTTTACCATCTGGAAAGTCACTTTTGTTTCTCAAAGTGTGTTCAAATCTTTATGTCAGTGTCTCCTGCGATGGACTTAGGAGAGCTTGTTAATGGTACAGATTCCGGGACCCTACCCCATTTAGAATCTCCAGGGCAGTGGTTCTCAAACTTTAGTGCCCATCAGAATCACTTGAAGGATTTGTTAAACCATAGATTGCAGGGCCCCACCCCCAGAATTTCTGGTTCAGTAGGTCTGGGGTCAGGCCTGAGAATTTGCATTTTTTAATTTTAGTTTATTTATGTATTTTGAGAAAGAGAGAAAGTGAACAGGGAAGAGGCAGAGAAAAAGTGAGAGAATCCCAAGCAGGCTCCCCACTGTCAGTGCAGAGCCAGATGTGAGCTCGAACTCACAAACTGTGAGATCATGACCTGAACTGAAACCAAGAGTCAGGCATTTAACCCACTGAGCCACCCAGGCATCTGAGAATTTGCATTTTTAACCACAGACCACACTTGAAGAATCACTGCTGTAGGACAGTGTTTTTCAACCTTTTTTAAATTATCATCTCTCTAAGGAATATTTTTAGACATTTTCCCCTAATTATCCCCATGAAATTTCAGTATCACAAATATACTGTATATCTATTAATGTATCATATGTATACATGTGCTTTTACATAAGCAAGCAAAAAAATCTTCCTACCCACAATCAATTTTTGTCATATTAAGAATGTATGCTCTGGGGAATGTGAATTTTTAAACTAGTGCCCCAGGTGATTCTTAACACTAGACAAGTTTGAGAAAGCTAGTGTCCCTTTAAGGTCTGAGATTTTTCTATGACCATTATGCAGAGAAGGAAATGAGTCTCAAGGAAATTAGATGACTGGTCCAAGATCACTCCATAGAGAACCAGGGATCCAATCAAAGTCCTCTGGCTCCAGATTCTGTCTTCATCTACAATTTTTAAAAGTATATAATGTTAGGCAAAACTAATCTGTGGTGTTTGAAGTCAGGATTATCCTTTGAGGAGAGGTAGCACCAGGAAGGAGACACAAGGGGGCTTCTCCAAGTTGGTAATAATGTTCTGTCTCTTGATCTAGGTGCTGGTTACACAAGTGTGCTCACTTTGTGAAAATTCACTGAGCTGTACACTTTTGGTTTGTGTATTTTTCTGTGTTTATATTGTATATCAATAAAAGTTTACTTAAAGCAAATGTGCTTTAAATATGTATTCTTTTTTTCCCCAAAAATGCCTCTTTCTACTATACACCAAAGATTCTCCAACTTCAGGGTACATCAGAATCACCTGGAGGGCTTATTAAAACTCAGATTGCCAGGTATCAGCCCCAGAATTTCTGAGTCAGAAAGTTATATTATCTAACCCAAGAATTTGTATTTCTAAGAAGTTTCCCGGTGATATTGATGCCCAGGGATCACACTTTGAGAACCAGTGGACTATGCTATCCTATCTTGCTAATGCCAACAGGGTGGATTAGCTCTGATCTAGAAGCCGGTACCTAGCAGAAGTTAGTAATTTAGGCTTTTTCAAAGGCATATGGAACAAGAATCTAGTCCTGACTATCAACAATTTATGTTAGAGGTCTTAGGCAAGTCCTTTAACCTCAGTGTCCAAATCTCTAAATGGAAATAATAGATCCTACCTCCTAAGATGTTGTGAAGATTCTGGGAAATCTACAGTAGGTAGTTGGTGATTCTCCAAGGAGGAGCTGATTTGGTGAGGGCAGAAAATCCCAGTCTGGCCATTTCCTCATCTTGCATGCCATGTGGCTCTGGTTCTCAGGTTCCCTGATCCAGAAATCAGTCTAGACCTGGTCAGAATGCAGACCCTGTGGTTGATAAAGCCTTGAACCACCTACACCCTCCTTCTGCCTTGGACACCCAGGTCAGCCTGGGACAAAACTCAACCATGCTGGGGTAGGGGTAGGAAGCCTGGAGGAGGTCGCTACCAGCAAGGGAAGGAGTTTCCAGGCCTCTGGGGAAAGAAGGAGGGGAGGAAGCAGGATGCAGAGCTGGAAGGAGTGGGAAGAGAAACCCCAGCAGCCCACATGCAGCCTGTCATTTACTGGCTTTCCCTACAGAACACTGAGTCATGTTGCTGTCCCCCTCTTCCCTGAAGCCACTCTGCATTCAACTGCCAAAGGCAGGAGAAGACTTGAAAAGTGGCAGAGCTGTGCGTTGAAGAGAAGACACTAGATGAAACCTCTGTGAGCCTGAGATCTGGATCCACTTAAGACTTCATGCCTCCCTCATTTGCCCTCTTTAAAAATGTTTCCTCATAGCCCCTGGCTGCCTCAGTCAGTAGATCATGTGCCTCTTGATCTGGGGGTTGTAAGATCGAGTCCCATGTTGGGTGTAGCAATTACTTAAAAATAAAATCTTTAGGGGTTGGCTCAGTCAGTCTTCTGAGTGTGTGACTCTCGATCTTGGGGTCATGAGTTTGAGCCCCATGTTGGGGGTAGAGATTTTTTAAATAAATATTAAAATTAATTAATTAATTAGTTAATTAATAAGGGTGCCTAGGTGGCTCAATCAGTAAGCATCTGACTTCAGCTCAGGTCATGATCTCAGGGTTTGTGATTTCAAGCCCCACATCTGTTGAGCTTGAGCCCTGCTTCAGGTAAGCCCTGCTTCTCTCTCTCTCATTCTCTCTCTCTCTTTCTGCCCCTCACTCACTTGTGTCCTCTCTCTCTCTCTCTCTCTCTCTCTCTCAAAATTAAATAAATAAAATCTTTAAAAAAAAAAAAGGCTGTTTCCTCATCTGCAAAATGAGGTACACTAGTTCTGTCCCTAGTCACCTTAGTCACTTCCTCCCAAGTAGGGTTGCCAGATTTAGAAAATAAAAAGTTAGGATGCTCAATTAAATTTGAATTTCAGATAAACAGCGAGTAACTTTTTAGCATTAATATGTGACAAATATTGGTTGTAACATAGTTATGCTAAAATTATTTTCATTGTCTAAAATTCAAATTTGGGGTGCCTGGGTGGATGCTCAGTTGGTTGAGTTTGATATTGGCTCAGGTCATGAGCTCACAGTTTGTGGGATTGAGACCTGTATCAGGCTCTGCGCTGACAGCATGGAGCCTGCTTGGGATCCTCTCTCTCTGCCCTTCCCCCGCTTGCATTCACCTGTGCGCACACATGCCCACAGTAGCTCTCTCTCAAAATAAGTGAACTTAAAAATAAAATAAAATTCAGATTTTACTGGACATCTCCATTTTATCTGGAAACGCCTATTCCCAGGGCCTTATACACTTTCTCCATTAGGGGTAGTAAACTTAAATTCCTCTAAGGGCCAGTAGGGTAAGATGAAAAATAACAGCCAATGTTTACTTCCTACATTGTAATTACCAAATGGAGTCCCAAGTGTTTTACATGCACTATCTCACTGAATACTCCCAGCAACCTAGGTTGGGTGCTCAGTTTCCAAATCTATAAAATGGAAGTAGTAACATACCCTATCCTGTGGGTCATTATGAGGATTAAATGAGTAATGAGTATGTAAAACACTTGGAACAGTGCCAAGCAGGCACATAGCAAGCACTCAATAAGCAATAGCTATAATTTTTTCCATTATGGAGACTGGGAAACTGAGTCTCAAGGACACAAAGTAACCAGCACATGGTCATACATCTAGCAAGTAGCAGAGCCAGGATTTGAAGTCAAGCCTACAACACTGGCAACCAGTTTAAAGTGTTTAAAACTTGGGGCGCCTGGGTGGCGCAGTCGGTTAAGCGTCCGACTTCAGCCAGGTCACGATCTCGCGGTCCGTGAGTTCGAGCCCCGCGTCAGGCTCTGGGCTGATGGCTCAGAGCCTGGAGCCTGTTTCCGATTCTGTGTCTCCCTCTCTCTCTGCCCCTCCCCCGTTCATGCTCTGTCTCTCTCTGTCCCAAAAATAAATAAACGTTGAAAAAAAAAATTAAAAAAAAAAAATAAAGTGTTTAAAACTTTGTGTGTTCCATCAACAAGAAAATGGATAAACTGCATTTAGACATTCATGGCAATGGAATACTACCAGGAAATTAAAGAATTACACAAAATAGATGTCTCAGACATCATGCAAAAAGAAAGAAGCCTTATATAAGAGTGTACAATTTATAATTCTATTTGTACAATATTCTAGAATAGGTAAAACCTAATCAATGGTGAAAAAAATCACAATAGTGGTTGCTTCTGGC